ATAATGACACGATACTTCAGTCATAAAGACACGATACTTCAGTCATAATGATAAGATACTTCAGTCATAATGATAAGATACTTCAGTCATTATGATAAGATACTTCAGTCATAATTATAAGATATTTCAGTCATAATGATACGATACTTCAGTCATAATGACACGATACTTCAGTCATAATGACACGATACTTCAGTCATAATGATACGATACTTCAGTCCCTAATGATAAGAAAACTTCAGTCCCTAATGATAAGATACTTCAGTCATAATGATACGATACTTCAGTCATAATGACACGATACTTCAGTCATAATGACACGATACTTCAGTCATAATGACACGATACTTCAGTCATAATGACACGATACTTCAGTCATAATGGCACGATACTTCAGTCATAATGACACGATACTTCAGTCACAATGACACGATACTTCAGTCATAATGACACGATACTTCAGTCATAATGACACGATTTCTTCAGTCATAATGACACGATTTCTTCAGTCATAATGACACGATACTTTCAGTCACAATGACACGATACTTCAGTCATAATGACACGATACTTCAGTCATAATGACACGATACTTCAGTCATAATGACACGATACTTCAGTCATAATGACACGATACTTCAGTCACAATGACACGATACTTCAGTCATAATGACACGATACTTCAGTCATAATGACACGATACTTCACTCATAATGACACGATACTTCCGTCATAATGACACGATACTTCAGTCATAAAACACTGAAGATGGTCACAAGAGGTGGGTGCCAGGTATTTCATTCGGAAAAAACTACAACATCTTATAAATAAGATTGATGAATTGGTACCCTGTCAGTGAAATAATAATCCAAACTTTCTTCACCAGTGTTGAAATTTTGAGGTTGGTCAGAAGAGGCTTTCTCAAGTTATCGCACAGAAACAATACCAGGAATGGTGTATGTCAAACTGGGTATGATAATAGTTGATAAGTCACGTGTGCAACAGATACTTAACTGTTACACATGTGAATTACTTATCAGCTATATAAAACTGACCAGAGGGCAGCTGCACACTCCAGTAATTCCACGAACCTTCCTTAGTTACAGTACACCAGCACTGGAAATCTGAAGACGATCGGATGCGGCATTCTCAGGAAATAAATGAAAAATCTTTGATGGAAAAGCATTCTGGTGAATCACTATAAGGAACCCCTTCGGGTATACCCATTGTGTTGCTGCGATGATACTGTAAATTATTTCTTCACATTTATTAAGACTGACGGACTGATCACATCGACTCCAGGCTGAGGGACTGATTACCTCAAACTCCTTCTGATCTTCAGTCATTCTTCTCTGTAATGGGCTGAAGAAGCCAATGGTTGGCGAAACGTTTCCACAATAAAGATACCCAAGTGCTGCATAAATATCCAATTCATCATCCTGTCAGTTTTCTAAACTATTTATCTAAACCATTTGTTAGTAGAAACTGACTGACGACAACGCTAAACAGTGTAAACAGAACACGACAAGCGTACTGCAACTCTGTTCTTGTAGCTACAAATACATAAACGTGCATAAACTTTTCAGTTATTGTTTTTACACTATGTTTATGTCCTGGAGATCCGTGGATGTCATCCTGGAGATCTGTGGATGTCATCCTGGAGACCCTGTGATTTTCCATCCGGGAGATCTGTGGATGTCATCCTGGAGATCTGGGGATGTCATCCTGGAGATCTTTTGAATGTCATCCTGGAGACTGTGGTTTGTCATCCTGGAGATCTGTGGATGTCATCCTGGAGATCTGTGGATGTCATCCTGGAGATCTGTGGATGTCATCCTGGAGATCTGTGGATGTCATCCTGGAGATCTGTGGATGTCATCCTGGAGATCTGAGAATGTCATCCTGGAGATCTGTGGATGTCATCCTGGAGATCTGTGGATGTCATCCTGGAGATTTGTGGAGTCATCCTGGAGATCTGTGAATGTCATCCTGGAGATCTGTGGATGTCTTCCTGGAGATCTGGGATGTCATCCTGGAGATCTGTGGATGCCATCCTGGAGATCTGGAATGTCATCCTGGAGATCTGTGGATGTCATCCTGGAGATCTGTGGATGTTTCCTGAGAATGTGGATGTCATCCTGGAGATCTGTGGATGTCATCCGGAGATCTGTGAATGTCATCCTGGAGATCTGTGGATGTCATCCTGGAGATCTGTGGATGTCATCCTGGAGATCTGTGGATGTCATCCTGGAGATCTGTGAATGTCATCCTGGAGATCTGTGGATGTCATCCTGGAGTTCTGTTTATGTCATCCTAGAGATCTGTGGATGTCATCCTGGAGGTCTGTGGATGTCATCCTGGAGTTCTGTTTATGTCATCCTGGAGATCTGTGGATGTCATCCTGGAGATCTGTGGATGTCATCCGGGAGTTCTTTTTTATGTCATCCTGGAGATCGTGGATGCCCATCCTGGAGATCTGTGGATGTCATTCTGGAATTCTGTTTATGTCATCCTGGAGATCTGTGGATGTCACCCTGGAGGTCTGTGGATGTCATCCTGGAGTTCTGTTTATGTCATCCTGGAGATCTGTGGATGTCATCCTGGAGGTCTGTGGATGTCATCCTGGAGTTCTGTTTATGTCATCCTGGAGATCTGTGGATGTCATCCTGGAGATCTGTGGATGTCATCCTGGAGATCTGTGGATGTCATCCTGGAATTCTGTTTATGTCATCCTGGAGATCTGTTTATGTCATTCTGGAGATCTGTGAATGCCATTCTGGAGTTCTGTTTATGTCATCCTGGAGTTCTGTTTATGTCATCCTGGAGTTCTGTTTATGTCATCCTGGAGATCTGTGGATGTCATCCTGGAGGTCTGTGGATGTCATCCTGGAGTTCTGTTTATGTTATCCTGGAGATCTGTGATGTCATCCGGGAGATTTTGGGATGTCACCCTTTTGGAGTTCTGTTTATGTCATCCTGGAGATCTGTTTATGTCATCCTGGAGATCTGTGGATGCCATTCTGGAGTTCTGTTTATGTCATCCTGGAGTTCTGTTTATGTCATCCTGGAGATCTGTGGATGTCATCCTGGAGGTCTGTGGATGCCATCCTGGAGTTCTGTTTATGTTATCCTGGAGTTCTGTTTATGTCATCCTGGAGTTCTGTTTATGTCATCCTGGAGATCTGTGGATGTCATCCTGGAGTTCTGTTTATGTCATCCTGGAGATCTGTTTATGTCATCCTGGAGATCTGTGGATGCCATTCTGGAGTTCTGTTTATGTCATCCTGGAGTTCTGTTTATGTCATCCTCGAGTTCTGTTTATGTCATCCTGGAGATCTGGGGATGCCATCCTGGAGTTTCTGTTTAGTTCATCCTGGAAAATCTTTTTTATGTCATCCTGGAGATCTGTGGATGCCATCCTGGAGTTCTGTTTATGTCATCCTGGAGTTCTGTTTATGTCATCCTGGAGTTCTGTTTATGTCATCCTGGAGTTCTGGAAGAGAAACTTAGCTAGGATAACTACTGTTAACTTTCAAACATAAACATAGTGTAAAAACAATAACTGAAAAGTTTATGCACGTTTATGTATTTGTAGCTACAAGAACAGAGTTGCAGTACGCTTGTCGTGTTCTGTTTACACTGTTTAGCGTTGTCGTCAGTCAGTTTCTACTGACAAATGGTTTAGATAAATAGTTTAGAAAACTGACAGGATGATGAATTGGATATTTATGCAGCACTTGGGTATCTTTATTGTGGAAACGTTTCGCCAACCATTGGCTTCTTCAGCCCATTACAGAGAAGAATGACTGAAGATCAGAAGGAGTTTGAGGTAATCAGTCCCTCAGCCTGGAGTCGATGTGATCAGTCCGTCAGTCTTAATAAATGTGAAGAAATAATTTACAGTATCATCGCAGCAACACAATGGGTATACCCGAAGGGGTTCCTTATAGTGATTCACCAGAATGCTTTTCCATCAAAGATTTTTCATTTATTTCCTGAGAATGCCGCATCCGATCGTCTTCAGATTTCCAGTGCTGGTGTACTGTAACTAAGGAAGGTTCGTGGAATTACTGGAGTGTGCAGCTGCCCTCTGGTCAGTTTTATATAGCTGATAAGTAATTCACATGTGTAACAGTTAAGTATCTGTTGCACACGTGACTTATCAACCACAGATCTCCAGGATGACATTCACAGATCTCCAGGATGACATCCACAGATCTCCAGGATGACATCCACAGATCTCCAGGATGACATCCACAGATCTCCAGGATGACATCCACAGATCTCCAGGATGACATCCACGGATCTCCAGGATGACATCCACAGATCTCCAGGGTGACATCCACAACAGTCGGCCAACTCCGAAGTCCCTTTCTACTGCAGAGTGAACAAGAACATATTTTGCACAACACACAAATAATCCGCACAGAGGAGAACGTAACTCATGACAATGTTTTGGTCTGACTTGGTCCAAGTCGGACACAAACATCGTCCTAAGCTTCAGTCTCATATGTGCAGGATACCAGGGTAAACTTATGTGCAGGATACCAGGGTAAACTTATGTGCAGGATACCAGGGTATACTTATGTGCAGGATACCAGGGTAAACTGATGTGCAGGATACCAGGGTAAACTGATGTGCAGGATACCAGGGTAAACTGATGTGCAGGATACCTGGGTAAACTTATGTGCAGGATACCAGGGTAAACTTATGTGCAGGATACCAGGGTAAACTTATGTGCAGAATACCAGGGTAAACTTATGTGCAGAATACCAGGGTAAACTTATGTGCAGGATACCAGGGTAAACTTACAAAAAACTTTAAACGATCAATGTTTATTGAATGCTTCTTGCAGGTTACACTTCAGTTTTACAAAAACATTTGAGGTCTGAAGCAACATAGAAAGAGAAGTCGTACTGGGACACTGATCTTTGATTTTCTCTCTTTTTTTTATTATACTTGTATATTTCACTATGTCTTAAGTTCTGGAAAGTATCGAGTTAATCCCAAATGATGCCACGTCGGCGCTGCTCCTCGGCGTTGCGGATCTGCTCGATGGCGTGGGCGGGGAGAGGATGAGGCGTGGGGATCAGTGGAGACTGGACGCGGAAGCCATTCTCGTCAGCGGTGTAGCGGACCTCAGCGACTCCGCCCTCAGGCAAAGGAAACCTGTTCAGATATGAAACTAATGAAATTATACTTGAGAGTGGCCTGAAAGTACCAGAAAGCCCCATCAGCGGGGACTCAGCGCGGAAACCATTGCACCTCAGCGAAGCCGCCTTCGGGTAAAAGAAACCTAGGAGACAAGAAATAAGCGAAATTATGCTTAAAGAATGACTCAAAGATAAGGAATGCACAAGAAGGAAATTGTGTAAGCTGTAAGGAAGAGAAAGAGAGAGGAAGAGAGAAGAAATAAAAAAAGGATGGTTTGTAATAGGTGTTGCTATTGCGGATGGGGCCATTTGCTTGAAGTTTGACGAGTATAAATCGTTGAACCTCCGTAATCAAAACAATGAGTAATTGAACGTGTGAGAACAAATTACTGGCGTTATGAAAAAGACATGTGCAACACCTGTGTATATTTAGTGCCGAGATGTATCGCCTGCCTGAGCTGCAGGCTATTTTCAGTCTAATACAGCATCGAGTTATATACTGGAGACAGTGGAAGAAGGAGAGGCTGTTTTAAGGTGCTCAGTCTCCTAATCTTGACAGAAAGGAGCTCACAGTCCTTTAACTTCGTTCTGTCTGATCCAGGCTCTAAGAGACTGGACACTTTCCACCAAGACTAAATGATTGAGCACCTTTTACCAAGACACAACCCTTTTACCAAGACTAAGAAGTGAACACCTATTGTGATTGCGGGCTCGAACACCATAAAAACTAAGGAATTGAACACCTTAAAATTACCTCTCCGCTTCTGCCACTGTCTCCAGGCTAACAGTCGCCTCTATAAAATACTGAAGAAGCCTAATGTGCCGGCGAAACGTCCTGTCATTAAAGATGCCCAACTGTGATGTATGTGTCTTATTCATCAACTTCTCTCGGTATTGTGTACCATTACTGTGATGGCGCTGGTGTTATCATCCTGAGATTCGTTACTTCGAAAATCAGCCATAACAGCAACAAATAATGATTATATTATTGTATTAAATGAAAATAATGATTATAAATGAAAATGTAATAAGCTAAACTTGAAAAAAGGACAACATGGTCAAATGAAGGATCTTATATGTAACTAAATTTGTAATAATAAACGAGATGTGTTAGAAAAAATCTTCAGTTTATAGATAAATTCCAGAGTGACACGAAAAACAAGTGAGTGGGTGTAATATCGGAAGCTTTCTCATTAATAACATCCTCATCATAATCCTTATCCTCATCAATTCATCATCTGAATCATTACTTCACCTGTAGTATCCGGCCATGTTGCTGCCGCCGCTGACTCCCTGCCTGCCGGAACCATCCACGTAGATGCCGTTGTCACCCTCGTACTCGAACTTGTAGTTTCCGTCGAGTGTGTCTTGACGGTTGTCACGGACGATGGCGATGAAGCGAGGGTCCCTCAGCCGCCCGGACTGCGGGGCGGCGACGGCCGCAGCAACGACCAGGCAAGCAACGACTATCTACGTCAAGGGAATAGAGGAGAGTATTAACAACACTGACGAAGTAAGAGTTACGTTCACTCGTTGTAGAAGTAAGAGTTAAAAAAATTTTGTTCTACTTGACAATGTATATTCGCTCGTAGTCAAGCTTCTTAATAGACATATATATATATTTTCTTCGTCTTGGCCAAGTATCAGCGAAGGTGATCTTTCTTTTAAAGTTGTTGTCCTCCCACGCAGAACCACTTAAACGATACTTAATTCGCTTATCTCCGCACTAGCACACCCGCTTTCTCAGCACTACTCACCCACCCTTGCACACACACCCCAACTCAAACTAATCCACTTATAACACATTCACTCACATTCCCTCTTTCACCCATTCACTCTAACTCATCCACATATACACACTCTAACCCATTCAAACAGAAAATACAAAAGATTAGAATATCTAGAATATGCAAAATGTGCCAGCTATTAAAAATAAATATAAGTTCACTGCTCATACTTTCACCCGTAACATATCGTAGCAAGATTTAAAATGAATAGTTGCAAGTGTTTCTAAATTTTACGTAGGAAAACAGTCTTGCAATACACGAACTGAACAGAAGATCACACAACCCAGAAAAGACGTCAATGAAACATCGGTTCCCACTTGATCTACCGTACTTACAAGCTTCATGTTGGCTCTCTGAGGATGTGGCGAAGACGATGTCCATCACCTGGACGCAAGATGTATATATATACATACCTCCCTGGGAGGCCAACTTTTTTTTTTCCGAAGAAATAGTGGACATTACGGATTCAGAGATGTTACGGGACAAATCGTGAAGGCGTGAGACAAGGGCGGAGCGACACCTTGTTGGATCTGGAGCCCCGGGTTCAGTTATTCGTCCATGGTGATGGAATATACAAATATGCTCGCCAACAAACCTCACGGAAGATAATGCAATAAAAAAATTGTTTGATCGTGGAGAGTTCTTGCGCCGCCTGGCGAATCTCTATTATTTATGATTTCCTGCATCACTACCTTTGTGTCTCTGATGGAATATCCTGTTATGCAGTGCATTTACAGGATATAGATATGCCCTGCCAACAGTAAAGTTTTATCGAGATTTGGCAAAGCTCTACACAGCGCGATACGTTGTCACAGTAAGAGTTGGCTCTGACAGTGTTTCTTTTACACTAGTGCCGCCACTGCTGCTTTGAAGAGCTGGGTCGGAGGAGACTGGTATGTGCACCTTCCCACCAGCAACCTTCCTTAGAATGTCTTTCCTATGCGGATCTCTGAGAAGTGTTAAAGTGCTCGAGGTAAAGATTTCCAGCCCCGGCGGTTTATCTTGAATAGTTAAGATCGCCCGTATGCGATTATTTGCATATACGTATATATATATATATATATATATATATATATATATATATATATATATATATATATTATATAATATATATATATATATATAATATATATTATATATATATATATATATATATATATATACAAGAGAAAATTTTAGAAAGGACTTAATTTTAAATGAGTTCTTGCTAATTGACCAGTTTTACATATTCGGCACGACATATATATATATATATATATATATATATATATATATATATATATATATATATATATAATATATATAATATATATATATATATATATATATATAATATTATAATAATATATTTCAACAAGTCGGCCGTCTCCCACCGAGGCAGGTGACCCAAAAAGAAAGAAAATCCCAAAAAAGAAAAATACTTTCATCATCATTCAACACTTTCACCTCACTCACACATAATCACTGTTTTTGCAGAGGTGCCCAGCATGCAACAGTTTAGAAGTATATACGTATAAAAATACACAATATATCCCTCCAAACTGCCAATATCTCAAACCTTTCCTTTAGAGTGCAGGCACTGTACTTCCCATTTCCAAGACTCAAGTCCGGTTATATAAAATAACCGATTTCCCTGAATTATTTTATTTTTATTATCACACTGGCCGATTCCCACCAAGGCAGGGTGGCCCGAAAAAGAAAAACTTTCACCATCATTCACTCCATCACTGTCTTGCCAGAAGGGTGCTTTACACTACAGTTTTTAAACTGCAACATTAACACCCCTCCTTCAGAGTGCAGGCACTGTACTTCCCATCTCCAGGACTCAAGTCCGGCCTGCCGGTTTCCCTGAATCCCTTCATAAATGTTACTTTGCTCACACTCCAACAGCACGTCAAGTATTAAAAACCATTTGTCTCCATTCACTCCTATCAAACACGCTCATGCATGCCTCCTGGAAGTCCAAGCCCCTCGCACACAAAACCTCCTTTACCCCCTCCCTCCAACCTTTCCTAGGCCGACCCCTACCCCGCCTTCCTTCCACTACAGACTGATACACTCTTGAAGTCATTCTGTTTCGCTCCATTCTCTCTACATGTCCGAACCACCTCAACAACCCTTCCTCAGCCCTCTGGACAACAGTTTTGGTAATCCCGCACCTCCTCCTAACTTCCAAACTACGAATTCTCTGCATTATATTCACACCACACATTGCCCTCAGACATGACATCTCCACTGCCTCCAGCCTTCTCCTCGCTGCAACATTCATCACCCACGCTTCACACCCATATAAGAGCGTTGGTAAAACTATACTCTCATACATTCCCCTCTTTCCCTCCAAGGACAAAGTTCTTTGTCTCCACAGACTCCTAAGTGCACCACTCACTCTTTTTTCCCTCATTAATTCTATGATTCACCTCATCTTTCATAGACCCATCCGCTGACACGTCCACTCCCAAATATCTGAATACGTTCACCTCCTCCATACTCTCTCCCTCCAATCTGATATTCAATCTTTCATCACCTAATCTTTTGTTATCCTCATAACCTTACTCTTTCCTGTATTCACCTTTAATTTTCTTCTTTTGCACACCCTACCAAATTCATCCACCAATCTCTGCAACTTCTCTTCAGAATCTCCCAAGAGCACAGTGTCATCAGCAAAGAGCAGCTGTGACAACTCCCACTTTGTGTGTGATTCTTTATCTTTTAACTCCACGCCTCTTGCCAAGACCCTCGCATTTACTTCTCTTACAACCCCATCTATAAATATATTAAACAACCACGGTGACATCACACATCCTTGTCTAAGGCCTACTTTTACTGGGAAAAAATTTCCCTCTTTCCTACATACTCTAACTTGAGCCTCACTATCCTCGTAAAAACTCTTTACTGCTTTCAGTAACCTACCTCCCTACACCATACACTTGCAACATCTGCCACATTGCCCCCCTATCCACCCTGTCATACGCCTTTTCCAAATCCATAAATGCCACAAAGACCTCTTTAGCCTTATCTAAATACTGTTCACTTATATGTTTCACTGTAAACACCTGGTCCACACACCCCTAACCTTTCCTAAAGCCTCCTTGTTCATCTGCTATCCTATTCTCCGTCTTACTCTTAATTCTTTCAATTATAACTCTACCATAACACTTTACCAGGTACACTCAACAGACTTATCCCCCTATAATTTTGCACTCTCTTTTATCCCCTTTGCCTTTATACAAAGGAACTATGCATGCTCTCTGCCAATCCCTAGGTACCTTACCCTCTTCCAATACATTTATTAAATAATTGCACCAACCACTCCAAAACTATATCCCCACCTGCTTTTAACATTTCTATCTTTATCCCATCAATCCCGGCTGCCTTACCCCCTTTCATTTTGCCTACCTGCCTACGAACTTCCCCCACACTCACAACTGGCTCTTCCTCACTCCTAACAAGATGTTATTCCTCCTTGCCCTATACACGAAATCACAGCTTCCCTATCTTCATCAACATTTAACAATTCTTCAAAATATTCCCTCCATCTTCCCAATACCTCTAACTCTCCATTTAATAACTCTCCTCTCCTATTTTTAAACCCTGACAAATCCATTTGTTCTCTAGGCTTTCTTAACTTGTTAATCTCACTTCAAAACTTTTTCTTATTTTCAACAAAATTTGTTGATAACATCTCACCCACTCTCTCTTTGCTCTCTTTTTACATTGCTTCACCACTCTCTTAACCTCTCTCTTTTTCTCCATATACTCTTCCCTCCTTGAAAATCACTTCTACTTTGTAAAAACTTCTCATATGCTAACTTTTCTCCCTTACTACTCTCTTACATCATCATTCCACCAATCGCTCCTCTTCCCTCCTGCACCCACTTCCTGTAACCACAAACTTCTGCTGAACACTCTAACACTACATTTTTAATCCTACCCCATCCCTCTTCGACCCCATTGCCTATGCTCTCATTTGCCCATCTATCCCCAAAGCTGTTAAATCTTACCCTAACTGCCTCCTCTTTTAGTTTATAAACCTTCACCTCTCCTTCCCCTGATGCTTCTATTCTCCTTGTATCCCATCTACCTTTACTCTCAGTGTAGCTACAACTAGAGAGTGATCTGATATATCTTGGCCCCTCTATAAACATGTACATCCTGAAGTCTACTCAGCATTCTTTTATCTCCCAATACATAATCCAACAAACTACTGTCATTTCGGCCCTAACATCATATCTTGTATACTTATTTTTTCCTCTTTTTCTTAAAATATGTATTACCTAAAAACAAACCCCTTTCTACACAAAGTCATCAAAGGGCTCCCATTATCATTTACACCTGGCACCCCAAACTTACCTACCACACCCTCTCAAAAAAGTTTCTCCTACTTTAGCATTCAGGTCCCCTACCACAATTACCCCTCTCACTTGGTTAAAAGGCTCCTATACTTTTCACTTAACATCTCCCAAAATCTCTCTCTCTCCTCTGCATTCCTCTCTTCTCCAGGTGCATACACGCTTATTATGACCCCACTTCTCGCATCCAACCTTTACTTAAAACCACATAATTCTTGAATTTACACATTCATATTCTCTTTTTCTCCTTCCATAACGATCATTTAACATTACTGCTACCCCTTCCTTTGCTCTAACTCTCTCAGATACTCCAGATTTAATCCCCTTTATTTCCCCCCACTGAAACCTCCTACCCCCTTCAGCTTTGTTTCGCTTAGAGCCAGGACATCCAACTTCTTTTCATTCATAACATCAGCAATCATCTGTTTCTTGTCATCCGCACTACATCCACGCACATTTAAGCAACCCAGTTTTATAAAGTTTTTCTTCTTCTCTTTTTTAGTAAATGTATACAGGAGAAGGGGTTACTAGCCCATTGCTCCCGGCATTTTAGTCGCCTCATACGACACGCATGGCTTACGGAGGAAAGATTCTTTTCCACTTCCCCATGGACAATAGAAGAAATAAAAAGGACAAGAGCTATTTAGAAAAAGGGAGAAAAACCTAGATGTATGTATATATATATATGCATGTGCGTGTCTGTGAAGTGTGACCAAATATTACCCTGCTCACACTCCAACAGCTCGTCAGGTCCCAAATACCATTTGTCTCCATTCACTCCTATCTAACACGCTCACGTACGCTTGCTGGAAGTCCAAGCCTCTCGCCCACAACACATCCCTTACCCCCTCCCTCCAACCTTTTCGAGGACGACCCCTACCCCGCCTTCCTTCCCCTACAGATTTATACGGTCTCCATGTCATTCTACTTTGATCCATTCTGTCTAAATGACCAAACCACCTCAACAACCCCTCTTCAGTTTTCTGACTAATACT